GGAGTCAAAAAGAAATTATTTGATTAGTAAATCCAAAAATATGTGCCGGAAGAGAAAACCAATTGTTTAGTGTTTATCATTTATTTGAATGGTATGACTTATTTCACTATTTGAGAACATTATTTTGTAATAAACTCATTAGCTGCAAAGAGTATTGGCAAATGAAAGTTCATGCTTCAAATTTACTCTATTTATGTTTCTCAGAAAAAATGATAATGAATTCAAACTTTGTACAAAATGTTTGAAGCATGTAGTAAAATTGGTTCAAAGCACTGTGGTGGGCCAAATTGACATAATCAACACATGACAATAAGAAGAAAAAAAATAGCATAAAGGTCAAAAAGTTTGTGGATTTTCTTCAGAAACACTAGTAATAGAAGCGGTGCTTATCCACAGCTAACTGAAGGTAGATCACATGTTATGCTATAAATTCATAACTTCCAATTAGAGTTGATAACTGTTCATTCAATAATTTCTACTCCTTTGTTTTGCAGTTTTCTAGTCATTGCTGAATAAAGGGATAGCTGTTGTAGGTGCTCCAGTAGCAAAGCTAGATTATGTAATTCCTGAACTCAGTATTTAGATGCAATGTTAAGATAGAAAAATCAGTTAATTTTATGTTAATTATGTTATCTAATTCATTATGCAAAGTATGTTTTGAGCATATTTTTCTGTCAAGTTTATTCTGTAAAACACTTAACTTATTGGTGAATGTTTATTTTTTAATTTTTAAAAGAAAAGAAAAAAAAATTATACATCATATGAGAAGGCTGTCCAAAACTGTTAAAGATGGTTATCACTGCTAAAGGAAGAATATTTGGGATATTAAAAAATTTTGTCACATCCTCCAAAAAAAAAAAAAAAAAGAAGTTCAGCATTAAAGATACAGATTTTCATGTAGCAATAGTACAAATGCATATTTTGTTTTTAGAGGACAGCAATATGATAAAAACAATCAATGCTCTTGTACAATTGAGAAACATTTTGTTCAAAAATGTACTTGGAATAATCTTGGTGTGAACATAATTTATCACTATATACAGACAATTCTTTCAATTTCTTTGATTTATATATACATTTATAGTAACCAAATTAGGACATTTTGTGGCAAATATTATATTAATTTAAAAAATAAAAACATCAGCATTAAATTACCGGTTTTTTGTTGTTCTTATTGATCATCTTCAATCAGATTCTAAAGATAATCGAGTCTCTGGAGTACTACTTGGTAAATCAGTCTAATTTGGTGTAATAGATGTAAAGATGTGCTTCTCAGTTCCCACTTGAAGAAACCATTTGTTGCCTAGCTCTAAAGAGTGTGGGTAGCTAATGAATGCTTCAAGGTATACCTCGGATATCCGGCTGAAGCCACACTCTTCTTGGGATGACCTAATAGTAAAAGAACAAAGTGAAGTGTCAGTGCTGGCCCCTTTCTTGCCAATGGGGGAAACTCCTTTTTTGAGCCATCTTTGCTCATAAGCTCCCATTTGGGCTGGCAGAAACTTTACCATCTCCGAATCATGGTCTAATGGCTCCACCTACCCAATCCTCATTCTGCCCCTTCTACTTCACACATATAAAGACTTTGCCTTACTATGTCTTTGCTCAAAACAAAATAGACATCTTTATTCAAAGTATTGAAAAGTTGAATTCCCCCCAAATTTAGATTTAATACTGTTAGCAAACTGAAATTATTTGCTAACTCAAGACTTGTTTACTAAACTTGTACATGGTTATAGATTGCTTAACTCTTAGAGGAGATTTTTACACTCAAAAATAGTTTTTGATTAAAACTATTTTACTGGTTAACATTTCTCAATTAATAAATACTACATAAATAATATTTACATATATACTTTTATTTCTTTTTGCAGCCTTGTTTATTCTCAAATGTGTCTAATTGTTAATTTTAAATCATTTTAATTATTAAAGAGTAGTTGAAGTATTTTAAGAAATTAGGAAAACTCTAAGTATAGATATAGCTAAAGATAACTTATAAGGCTAAAGGTGAAATTAGCACTATTGTAAAAACTCATAGTAGAAAGATAGATAGATATATATTTGTAAGAGAGGGAGAGAGAGACAGAGAGAGAATATTGCAAGCTTGAATTTTCTGAGGAAGATAAATGTTCAATATCAGAAATTCCATCAACTAATATGATATTCTGTGACTGGATGAGTATGAAGAGCAATGTGAGACAGGTTCTGGAAGGGTTATCAATGGGGAGTTATGTAAAATCCTTTCGCAGATTACCTGGGTGATCTATCAGCATTTAGTTTCTGAATTGGTAAACATCCCACTTACTATTGTCCTGCCTCATATGCAGGTAGTGTCTCTTTTTTAAGGCAGGAAGACATGAAATTTAGTTTTGGGTAACTTGCATTAAGTTTTGATAGAGAGAAATGGCATTTTTCTTAGAAATGAGAATGCAATAGGTCGGTAGCATACATATAGAAGGCTTTATGTCAGGTGGCAAATAATAGGAATAATTCTCATTTTACTGTCTTTTAAGGAGGGAGCATGAGGATTGGGAGTATATAGGGAGACTAAAGAAGCTGGCACATATGCAGTTCTTTTCTACTCCCTATCATCCTGCTTTCTTGGTTCGGGAGAAAAATGAACCTAGCAGCTCAACAAGAATGCAAAGTAACCATATTTTAAGTCATATTTGATGATCAGCTGAAATAGCAGTTATTATGAACAACCCCTGGATGGAGCTGTTCCATTTTGAACAACTTCTGGATGGTCTCCATCAGTGCTCAGCAACAGGTAGGCACAGACACACAGGTGGAGGTCTACACTGATTCGTAATTTGCAGTTTGTGAAACTGACTATGAAACTAAATAAACAATCATTCTGTTCTGTGTTGAATAAACGGCAGCTCCAAATTATATATCACGTCCCCCATCAAGAGATGGAATGTATTTCTCTTCCTTTGAATCTGAGCTTGTTCCATTCATGTATAACTAACAGATGCAGTGGAAATGACCCTTTATTTTTTGCAGCTATAGTCCTTAACAAGACTAGAAGTTTCTATCCTGTTTCCTGGTATATTCTCTTTTGTTCTTGAAAGCAGTTTTTCTTGGAAACCAGCTAACGTGCTCATAGAAGCCTAAGCTACTTGGAGAGGCATATGTAGGAGCTTAGCTGAACTCAGCAAGCATCAGCTGCCAGCTTTGGGAATGAACCACATTCAAAGTGTATCCTCTGTCCCAGTGAAGGTGTCCAGTTGGTACTATGTGGAGAATAGACAAGATATCCCTGCTGAGCTCTGCACAAATTACACAGCTTTGGTCAAATACATAATTGTTGTTGTTTTGGGTCACTTAGCTTTGGAGTGGTTTGCTATCCAGCTATTTCTGAACATGGTTCCTGGTCAAGAAACCTAATTTTCTTTGTAGTCAAATCAAGTCCCCGAAGTCACTGTCTCAGTTTCTCTGACCTTTTGACTTTACTTACTACTCTCCTCTGTCAAAATACACATCATTTTCACTAGTTTCTCTCAAGATCTTTATTAAGTGTATTTATTCACGGCATTATAAAAATAAAATTTAATAGCCTTGTTTACAATCTAAGACAAACACTGGCATTGAAGCATGTGTTGGACACAGATAAAACAAACAATGACATGAATAAGTTATGAGAAAACCTTATTTCTCTATGATGTTAAATTGTACGTATGGTTTTCTAAAAGTGTTACAGAAAGCTGAAAATATCTCTGTAGAATATCGTAGGAAAATATTTAAAAGTATTGGGAGAATAATAAAATTTGGAGTAATTATTATAAACTGAGGATTAAAGATGACAATATGTGTGTATTTGTGTGTGTGTGGTTTTTGTGACTCTATATATGTTATCTCAATGTTTCCTAAGTGTTCACTCATTTTTTTATTCAAAATTATTTGTGTTCATACCGTGGGCTACTCAATGTGCTCACAACCGGTATGAAGTAGTAAAAAGGCAGACAATCACTAGTCTCCTGGGATTCACATTTTAATATCAAATAATTGTTTAAGGTCCTATAAACACAGGTTATATATGCAAAAACAACACCTATGACTCTAGGATTACAAGGCAATTTACATGGTATGTAAAATGATTAATAAAGATGGGAAGATTGATATTTAAGAGAAATTTAAAAGTCTATTTAGGCTGGAAACGGTCAGAGAAGGCTTCAAAGTGAAAATGCAGTCTTACTTAGAAAAAAGATTGAGGAAAATAGTTGTATCTTCACCAGTTATTTTTAAATTATAAAAGAGATAATCTCTAGAGAGTGGGTATAATTAGCTAATTCTAAGAGCTGGGAGTAAAATATATATGCAGAAAAGGTTTAAAAAGCAATAGCCAGAGCTAAGAATGTACCCATAAGAAGATAAAGTATTTTTTTGTAATATGCGCCACCAAAATAAACAATTGAGATATGGTCATTTGGGGTTCTTTAAAAAAATACCCTTTGTAATAATGTAATTGACTAGTATGACTCCAGAATAATAGCTTTTGTAGTTTGAATTTACATCCATCCAAATATGCAGTTAATATACATATTTTTAAAATTTTTAAGTCTGTGCAAGGTGACCTCGAATTAGGTCAAACATTGCATCATCAACAAAACTTGAAGAAATAATTTAGCTATTCTCTTAATAGGCATTTGTTTGCTACGAATATAAAAAAAAGTAGGAGAATACATTTTTATAGGTATTTTTTCATATTATTTCATTGGCATGTACTTTAAAAAGCAGGAAGCAGATGCTTCCAGTCTTCCTTTAAGGCTTAAATTATTGGATGTACAATCTTAGAATCAGAGAGCTGAAGTAATTTTCACAAACTCACAGGGGCATAAGGGCACTTAGGGTACTGAATATCAAAAGTCATTCATTCTATGAACTCTATCTGACTATAAAATATAAGACCACTCTAGTATATTATACTTTCTTCCAGTGAAACATTCAACATCTATTTAGTTGCCACTTTAGATTCATTCCCTTTCTCATTCTTTTGATCAACTTCTTTTTGGACAAAGTTTCCCCACAACCTTTTCTCGGATTTGATGGGTCTTCACACAGTACACAATGGGATTCAACAGGAGTGGAACCAGCAGAAAAATATCAACCATGAGGACATGGATCATAGGAGACACATCCCTGACAAACCAGTGGAGCATGGCAGTACTCAGCATGGGCACATAGAAGATAAGCACAGCACAGATGTGAGAGATGCACATGTTGAGGGCCTTGAACTGCTGTCTGGGGGTAGCAATTCCCAGTACAGCCCTTAAAATCATAATGTAGGAGAAGATAGTAAACACCAAGTCCAGCATAGTAGAAAGTGCTGCACAGAGTCCATAGACAACATTGACTCTATTGTCAGAACACACCAGCTTCACGACATCCTGGTGGAGACAATAAGAGTGGGAGAGCAGGTTTCGACGACAGTATCCCAGCCTTTGCAAGAGAAAGGGCAGTGGAAGGATCAAAAGAACATTCTTGGAGGTCAGAAAAAAAACGTTTTGATGACTCTGGGACTAGTTAAGATAGTGCTGTATCTCAAAGGATTGTGGATTGCCACATACCGGTCAAATGCCATTACAGACAGTACAGAGGCTTCACCGACTATAGACAGATGGATAAAAAATTCCTGGGCAAAGCATGAAGCTGCATGAATTTCATGGACATCAAATAGGAATAGTCCCAAAGTGGTGGGTAAGGAAGAGAGAGACAGCCCTAGGTCAGAGATGGAGAGCATAGAAAGCAAATAGTATGTAGGTTCATGGAGGCTTTGCTCTGTCCTGATAAAAAAGAGGATGGTAAAATTACCCATCAAAGAAAAAAGGTACATGGATAAGAAAAGAATGGATATTCAGATGTGACTTTTCTCCAGTCCAGGGATCCCAATAAGGAGGAATCTAAGGACTTCCATTTTTGTGTCATTAAGAGGAGACATGACACATAGGAAGATGCTTTACTAGGTGCTTACCTCAGTGCGGTTGGAAATTTCTTAAGCGAAGTTATGGTAGAAGATATTGCTTTCTGTTACATTATAGATACTAAGAGTAGATAATTCTTAATGTCAAACATTTATATTTCTACTGTCAGTTCAGACTGAAAAAAAAAAAAGAAAAGAAAAAGAAAGCCAAACATAAAAGCACATGGGAAGAATATGAGTTGCTTCCTCACCCAGGAGTTTGTTGGAATTTGTTAAATTATCAAACAACTTAGGCTTTGCACACTTAACAATTCCAGACAATCCTTTGACTACATGAAAATACTCATGTCTCAATCTCATGAAACCAGTTATCTTATTTCGATTTTATAAAAACATCTTATTTCAATTTTATAAAAACTTCTTGAGCAAGGAAAGCAAAATTTTGAAGGAAACAGCACAGTTTACTCTGGATTAGGAGGGAAATTAACAAATTATCCCAAACCTATAATCATACCAACGTATATGTATAGGATGAACATTTCAAGTAATAGCAGAACTGGAAGTTCATAATTACATGATCTTGGGGTTAAAAAAAAAAAACCTTTAGAAAATATGTAGACTGACCCTCCTTCCTATACAGAAGGTAGTCTAAATCATGCTGAATGGGTAGTGATCCTCCAATACATCCTAACTTCTCCCCAGTATTAGCATATTAACTAATACCTAAAGCCTTCTACTTCATGGTTGAATACTCAGATTAGTTTTCTTCCTTGAATTGAGTTGATATATGTTTCTTAAATTTGTTTATCTTATTTTCTCTTCAGGTACGTAATCTAGTCCCATTTACACAAAATAGCTTCCTTATTATTTTCCTGATTTATTATTTGACATCTGTCTTCTCCCTTAACTAGAATATAAGGGGAGAGAATCATGTTTACACTGTTCACTGTTCCATTTCTAACACCTTGCATAGTAAATGGAAATTAGTTGTAGCTCCAAAATTATTTATTTAATGGAATATCATTTACCAAAGTTAAAGATGGTAATAATTTCCCCCATTCTTCAGGCTACATTTCACTTATTTAATCAAATAAAATGTGTCTGATTTTTACCTCTTGGTTTGTCTTATTTTAGAGTCCTCATTTAGTGCTTCTCAGACAGCAAAATGTATTAGCTCTTCTTAACATCTCAGAATACAGTTCGTTGGCTGTTTTCCTAAAAGAGTGGCTATCTTTTCCAAAGTTGTTATCTGCATAGATTGTATTTTCCATTATTATAATCATTTAGGAATTATTAACTCTCTATTTAAACAGGCAATTTCCCTCATTTTTAATTACCTGTCAATGTTGAATTCAGACTTTTCTAAGGATATTGACAGTATGGGAAAACCTTGGCTCTAAGGAAAGTATAATTTCTTAGTGCTTATGGGGTTATTGGCTGCTTTGTTGGGAGACTTTTTCCTTCTTCATAACCTCTCAATGTGCCCAAAGTTCTATCCCAGGACCTTGTTTCCTTGGATATCCATAGCTTACTAAGAATAAATATTTGGAGCTTAAGAGAAAGGCCAAGCCACAGATCATGACATAATATACATCACTTACACATTTACACATCCTCTGAAACTTCTTATCTAAGCCACATAACTTGCTTTCTTTACTGTACTAGCTAAAATAATCTTATGTCAATAAACTGTGGCCATTTGTGTTCTGGCATTTGTCTCACCATTGTCTTAAAGATTGCATGCATTATTCTTTAGCAGTAGTCACTATTGAGATTTAATTCAAATATATAGAACAAACACCCAAAAATGCAATTATTGTATTATATATTATATTTTAACTTGTAGATAGTAATATGCTATTTTGATTAATGATATATAGGTTTTCTCACTTAGATTATTATTTTGTCCATTTTGTATATTAAAAAACCCACAAAATCTTAGAGAGGTACAGTGACTTAAGGTAGAATCAAGTGATAATATAGATATACATCCTTCTCACACATATCATACAGACTGGGCATGCCTGGATGGACATTCCTAATACTTCCCCAGACACATAATCCCACCAAAGTGTACACTCTGTCTCTCCTTGAAAATTCTGCAATATGCTTAATCTCCACTACATGTAATTTCCTCTTGTTAATTTAACATTTAGTCCATCCTTTCAGAATCCAAACAGAAGATGTAACGCAAATTATTTCAGATATTTTGAAAAAGTAGAATTTTGTCTTAGCATTTTAAAATCAGTGTGATACTTTGCTATAAAGTCAGTGATAAGAAAGTGATCAGAAATAGGAAAGAATCTTTTAAGCTCCTCTTTTATGCTAGTAGGCACTGTTTTATGAAGCTCTAAGAGCCCCTTGGGATGCCTACGAGCAGGGGCTGTTTGAAAGAATAACACAATACTTTATAGAAAATCTTCTAAAGGTTGACTCAAGGGACACAAATCTAGGGCTGAACTCATAATACACGCTTTGGCTAAGAAAACTGCATGTGATCAGAAGTTGGAGGTCATATTCAAACCCAGCCCCTGTTCATTAGCTCTTGACCTTCCTCATTTTCCCCTCGCTATAATTAGCAGGGGATGCTAATCAGCTAGTTGTTTTAGAGTCCCAAGTTCTAAAAGAGATCAGATCATTAATAGTGCACGCTCATTTCCCTCCAATTAGAAATTATACTCCCCTGTCTATATGCTTATTGACCATTTACATCTCCTCTTTTGAAGTATCTGTTCAAGGCTTTTGTTCTTTTTCTGTTGGATTATATACCTTTTCCACATTTATTTAAATAAAGAATGATTTTTTATATATGCAGGATATGCCATTTGCTAGCTAAGCATAGCATATTTATTATTTATTCTCTCACTCTATCACTTGCCTCTTTAGTCCCTTAGTCAATCCTGTTTATCCAATCAATAGAATCAGTCATGATATTTTATGTAGATTTACACTACCTTTACTTTGTAGGCAGAAGATTCTCTTTGTAACAAGAATGAACAAGCCATGGGCAAGCAACCACATATAGCCAGCCTGTCTTTTCAGTGTAAATCATATCCAATTTACCTACTGTAATGCACTTATAATCTAATTAGACATGTGGAAATTAGAAAGAGACAAATTCATTATGGATTTTCACTTTTCACCTGAAATTCTTGTAAGTATTCCTACTCTCTGTAAATACACAAACACATACAAGTTCTTATACACTTGGCGATAATGAATTGCTTTAGTACCATGTTTCTTAAACTTTAATGTGCAAAGAAATTATGCGAAGAGTTTGTTAAAACGAATATTTTGATTGAGTAGGTTTTGAATGGGATGTAAGTTACTATATTTGTAATAAGTTCCAAGGTGATGTTTATGCTGGTCATCCAAGACCGCCATGCTTGAGGTATGCTGCTTGACTTCCATGCTACATTTTCTGTTAGATGGAAGCAAATCTGTCAATAATGTTTAATCTGCTTGGGAGGTTATTCATTTTTTATAAAAAGGAAAAAAAATAGAAATAAACAAGCAAACTGTTTGCTGCAAGTTCGTTTTTTTAAGAGTAAAACCTGCTGGATGTGGTGGCTCACGCCTGTAATCCCTGCACTTTGGGAAGCCAAGGCAGGCACATCACGAGGTCGGGAGATTGAGACCATCCTGGCTAACATGGTGAAATCCCGTCTCTACTAAAAATACAAAAAATTAGCTGGGTATGGTGGCGGGCGCCTGTAGTCCCAGCTACTCAGGAGGCTGAGGCAGGAGAATCACTTGAACCCGGGAGGCGGAGGTTGCAGTGAGCAGAGATCGTGCCACTGCACTCCAGCCTGGAGGACAGAATGAGACTCCATCTCAAAATAAAAGAAAAAATAAAACCCTACTCACACTGCTGCCAAGAAGAAGAACATGCCTGATAAAAATTGTCTATCCTAAATTAAGTTGACTAAGGACTGCTTCTGTTGTGTCAAAATGACAATGTAGTGAGTCTTACATTTAAAAAAAAAAAAGTTTTAATTTTCTTTTTCAATTATACTACATTTGTTTGTTTGTTTATTATTTATTTATTTATATCCTGGATTCTCTTCAGGAGTTCTTGGATGTCTCTTTATCTTCTATTCTTGTTGCTTTATCTCCTATCTTAATGGGCCAGTTAGACCTGAATCAAAATTATAGGAGAGTGGTAACGTAGGGTATCTTTCTTTGTCTTGAATTTTGAGAGAATGTTTTAATATTTTATCATTGACCTTTAGGCTTACTACTTTTTATTGAGAAAGGGGTTTAAGTTTTACTTTCTAAAATTAGAGTAGCTATCTTCTATTAGTTGGTTTCTAAAAATCTTTTAAAATAATGATTGGCTATTATATTTTATTGTACTATTTTTGCTTTTGTTGCGATAAAATATTTTCTTCTTGCTCTTGTTGTATTTAAATGTGTTTTTAAGTTCTGATTATTTTAAGAATGTTAATGATCTCACAAATAACAAAAAGAGAAATTTTTCTAGCTTATTTACATGAAAAACATTCAGATATGGGCAAATCCATAGGTACAAACACACGTAGACCCACACAACTATATTATACCTTTTTAATGTGACATGTATGGGGACTCAAATTCTCAAGCAAGAATAATGCATTCAATTAATGGATTGAGTTGATTGTACACAATTAATTCAACATATTAAATAATATTTTTTTCATGGTATCAAAACTTTGTTGGCCCTGGAAAAACTAAGATGTTTAGGTTGTACAGACAAGTAGTTGCCTACTTTAAAAATTACAGTATTGTTCTCATGTAACTCGTGTATCATACAGGCATATTTTCTCCATCTAATTCACATATTCTCTATATGGACCAAGTGATGCTGTCCTTTGTCCCTTATAATTTTTTAGTGTTCCATCCCTTACAATGTTTTCCTGTAAACTTCTCACAAATGACTAATGTCCAATAGAAACAAAACAAAACAGAACACAACAAAACAATAACAACAAGACTTACTAGAATTTTTTTTAAAAAGTATTTGAACTTGCCTTTTGGTGAGGTTTACATCCTTTGCATTAGTTTTTGCACATTTTCATTTTTTATTAATCGGTCTTTTAACATCTCTCAAAGACTTCATTGTCTTTCAATTTTCTCAAAGTTTTTCACTGTTTCCTTTCTCAGGAACTTCTCTGGTATCAGATTGCCACTAGGTGCTGTGTAGTTGAGCTCAAGGTAATTTGTGTAACCATGGAGCTTAATCATTTATTATTTGATAGTTACATTTTGACTAGGGCTTTTTGTATCCTTGGCACCACTGACATTTTGTGCTGGATCATTCTTTTGGGTAAGGGCTATCCTGTGCATTAAAGAATGGTTAGTAGCACCTCTGGCCTCTAACCAGTGGAAGTCAGTGACACACCCATGCCCCCAGGTTGCAACAACCAAAGGTGACCCCAGACATTGCCAAACGTCTCTTAGAGGCAACATTGCTGCAGTTGAGAGCCACTGTTTAAAGAGCCCCAGAGATGAGCTTTTAATCCTCCAAAAACTACATTAGTCATTTCAGGAATATGTGAAAATCATTATGCTGACCATAAATCTTCACCTCCCCCATTGAGATTTATGTATCTTTATTTTATTTTTCATTTCATTTTATTAAGACTGTCAAAACCCCTTAAAGTACAGATTATCTTTGAGACTCTTCTATGTGACATCTATGTACAATATCCTGAAAGAATAAGATGCCTATTAAAGCCACCTAATTGCTCCTCATCTTTTTAGTGGAAAAGAAGTCTTCATATTGGGTTGCCTAATATCACACTAGGAGAATATGAGCTTCTATTTCTTTCAATTAATAAAATATGTCAACTACTACTTTGTTGTACTGCAACCCCAAACCCATATCTGTATTTGTAAGGTTTTGGAAAAGGCAGATAGGTATAGTTTTGCACCTCAAACATAGAAACAGTTCTTGCCCTGATCAGATGATAGGATTTTCTATACTAAGATAGGTTTGTGAAAACATATGTAACCCTGAATTTAAAAACTAAAATGTACTCAAGATAATACTATCCCGGAGTATCAGATGTTAGGTTTGAACCCCAGCTTTTGAATTCCTCTCTGTGTGAATTTCATTAAATCAAAATCTCAGAGCCACAATCTCTTCAGCTAAAATAAACAGGCAAAAAACTTTTATAAAAAGCTGGGTCATTGTGGAAAACAAATTTTTAAAATGCCTAAAAATATCTGGAAGCCTATCCTGCATAAATTAGAGGTTTAAAACAATGCTGGTATCTATAAAAATTTTCCATTAATTGTGAAGTGTGGTCAGCTGTGGTCTGATTATCATTTTTTAAGCATTTGACACTCCTGGAAGGTGTTTCTTGATTCATCTGAGGATAAAAGTGTAGGAGACTTGAACTGACGTGGTTGATAAAAATGACTTGGTTCAATGAGTAGGTAAAATGAAAAGGCTAAAATAGTTTTCACAATATGCAAGATTTTGAGGTCATATTAGGAAGGAAAGTTGGACAATTTTTCAGACACAATTTCAAGGCAATAAAATTGTCTTTAACAGCATATCTTCTTTTTCCTGTTTTAAAAGTCATTAGCATCAATGATATGCCTATATTTGAAATAGATGACTTAAAAACTTGTATCCTACCTTGAAATGTTACTGAACTCTTCAGCGAACATCTTTGTTAACAAACATGGTCTTCTTTTTAAATTCATTCATTAGCAATTATTTATTAAAATCTACTCTGCATCAGAAGTGTCCTAGACATTAGGTAGGAAAAAATAAAGAAAATAGATAGGTGTCTTCAATCACTTAGTGTACACTTTATTCAATAAGTAGAAAGAAATGAAATAAGCATAAAATGTGTCTATGATTGCAAATATTAAGTATAATAAAGAATAAAGAATAAACCAGCAATGAAAGAGATAAAAGAGAAGGTCATAATACAAACTAGGGCTAGGTAATCTATGAGGAAATTAAGCCAAATTTAAAGAAAAATAGAAATGCATTATAGAAAATTGGAGTCAAGAGCATTTTAACAACAGAGATCTGATGTGAAAACTCACAGAAAACAAAGAGCTCCATAAATTCAAAAACTGTTTAGTAAGTCGATGTGGCTGGAGATTAATGAGTATCTGATGATGTTGAGTAAGTATAAACAGTCCAGCCCATGTAGGGTCTTAGAATATGTTCCTTATTGATTTAACTGTGTATCTAATGAAGTAAGAGTTCAAATTTTAAAAAGACACTTACACATTCACTTTGCCTATTGATTGCTCTTGCATTTCATTGTGAATCAATTATAAGGCAGGGAACTTAGCAATATTTTACTGAAGAAATGCTGGTGACTACAGACTACTGGTGGGGGGAAAGTTAAGGAGGCAGGATTGGACTGAGAAACGATCTACTGGGTACTATGCTCACTACCTAGGTCCCATATATCCATGTAAAAATCCAGCACATGTACTCCCATATCATATATAAATGATTAAATTTAAAAAAACAATGGTGGTGTACTAAGATGATTAAAATGGATAAAGTGACAGAGTTAATTTAGGTCTAGCATTAAAAGAACTTGATATAAGAGATTGAATGTAGATAATGAGAAATTCAACTTCTGTCAGAACTGTAAAAATTGTCATTTTTCTGTCTTGGTTGTAATTTGTTGCTTGTATCAGAGACACTATCATAAGACAGTTATTTTTATTCTGGTTAACTGAAATGGGGACCTCAGGTAATGTACTTCCTGTTTATAGTTCTATTCTCATTCACAGTGTCAAGAGTGAATAAAATAAATCTATGATAACAACAAAAATATGTGTCGATAATTCTTTGTGTCAAATATTAGGTTTCTCAAATTGACCTTAAATATCTTACCAGACATTTCCAGGTTTTCTATCACATATGCCTGTTAAATTTTCCGTTGACACAATTTTGCTACAACTCTCACTCTAATCTGTTTAGTTTTTACACAATAAACAATTGGGTTCATTAGTGGAGGTACAAGTAAGAGAACATTTGCCATAAGAACATTAATGATGGGAGAGACAGGCCAGGCAAAGTGGTAGACAATGGCCAAGTTGATGATGGGCAGGTAGAAGATGATCACTGCTCAGATGTGTGAAACACAAGTATTGAGAGCCTTACAGCGTGCTTTTTTGGGATCAACTCCCAGTACAGTCTTGAGGATCAGGATGTAAGACACGCGGCATGAGAATGGAAAAGGGTCACCGGAGTGAAGGCAGAGTGCTCCAAAAAGCCATAGATGACACATTCGTGCTTTCAGAGCAGGACAACTTCCATCGACCATCCTGTGGAGATAGTAGGGGAGTAGGAATAAATGGTTTTTCTTAGCAATATCTTCAAGCTTCTTAAACGTGAAAGGGAAAGGAAGAACCACGCGAGCATGCTCCTTGAAGAGGAAGAATACTGATTCCTATTTGGAGACAAGCTTCTGACAGTGTCAGGATTGGAGGTGTAGTCTCAAGAGGGTTGGTGGATGGCATAGGAATTATAAAGCACAATGATCAGGAGCGACTGAGGGACTCCGTACTAAGAAATCATGAATGAAGGATTCTGGGCAAGCAGACTTGATTGAAAATTTCCAGGAGCATTGAACCAACTAGGAAGATGCCTTAAACAGTAGTGGCAGAGTGGTGGGACGAAACCCAAATCAGCACTAGCCAACGTGGGAAAAGAACAGATGCAGTGACATGGGATCGATGCAAGGAGGGGGCTCTGTGCTTGCTGATAACAAGGATGGTTGCCAATTCCTTAGGAATTCGCAATAAGATCCGATGCTGCAGGATGGTGGAGTACCGAGATCCCAGATTGTGTTCGATATTGCTAGCCGTGGGCATCCCATAGACCAAGAAGAGGGTTTCGTACTAACACGTGATGGATGTATTTGGCTAATGGAGCGGATGATTTCATTCAGTAGGTCCTCTGCAATGGAGCAGACATACAGGATGCTGGTGAAGAGAGTGCGTGAGAAGTGTAGTCAAAAAAAGCAGTGCGTAAAAACATGTTGAGGGTCGGCTTCTTCAAGGCGGTTCGCTTGTTTCGGAGAACAGAACTTGGTGATGTTGCTGTGAAATCTATATAAGAGAGGGCTGCCGTGTATAGAGGAAGACGCCTAAAGAAGCATGTGGTTGGTATGTCATTATACTACCAGTGTTTGAAAAGAGTCTAATCCTGGAGCTATGTATTGTGGGTGGTCTGTTCTAGAGGCAATCTTGCATTTTATATATTTTCTGCAGGTTTGAGGGGTCAGAGGGCTGATGTTGTCAGCTGTTTTTCCTGTACATAGACTGATGGAGTATGGAGATGCTGGTCGCAGAACGTAAAAGGGAGAGGTGCCTGGCTGAGTATTGGGGTTCTTGCGCGTTTCAGAGTCCGGGTATTACTTCCGTGAAGCCGTTGCATGTTTCGTGATTGTGATTATATTTGGCAGTAATAGAAGTCAATCGAAATCCAACCATAATGAGGAACATTTCTTTTTGTTTTTTGTGTTTTTTTTCTTTTGTTTAGTGGTCTTGTTATTTTTTTTATATGTGAATGCTTGATGTAGCGTGGTAGCCGGAACTTGTGTTGATATGTACGCTATATCATAATTCTGATAATACAATCACTCCATCAGGGAACTGTTGTGTACACTTTCCTTATCACCCACAAAACGACTTTTGCATGGATATATACGCCTCCTATGGGTGAAGGACTTGTGTGTATTCCTGTTTAGCCCTATAGCCACTGTGGCGCTGGGGAGTTACACTTTCTCAGATGTGGGGGGATTGGTGAGCGGAAGGCTGAAGGATCGTGTTGCTGACGAAACAGAATAAACATTTTCGGAACCAGTTAAATCAGGTGCAGAGAGTTAGTGACGTACAACGGGAGATAATGCAAACTAAACCTCAGCTTAGACTCTGTGAATAGAGGGCGAAAAATCTTTGGTGGAGTCTTCTTTAGATTGAGCTCATGGGTGGGATTTGTGAAGCCGAAAGAAGGCCTAGTAACATGCGTCTGGACAGCAAAACCTAGGGCCATGATTTCGTGTGATGGATAGGTTGCTCGTGTCAAATGGTCAGCCCCCCTTCTTGCGCAAGGTCGAAGGTAGAAGCAGAGGCGAGACTGATTGGCATTCAAGAAAGTGGTTCTTTGTGACCAAACTCCCAGAAGAACACAAGTGCTTGTACATCCTAGGGATTTTTATTCGGGTTACAATCCTGGCTCGTATTCTGCCCTGATCACGCGGTTAAGACACGGTGCACCTAATTTTTCAAGCTGCATGTCCGGTAAAACCAACTTGTCCAACTTAGACAAGTTTTTCTCCCTTCCCAAACCTGCCCCGTTTGAGGGACCTACTTCAGTAATAAGCCTTTACGTTTAAGAAACAACAAGCCAAAAATCTGAGCTTCTTTGTCTTACATTTTGTACACAATAATGACCAATATTTCTTAGAAAATTAAATAGTTTTACTTACTGAGTTCCATTACCAGATGATGATTTGGAATCTTGAAATTTTTTGAATAATATTATCAAGCTATATCATTATCTTCATTTTACTGATGAAGAAATTTTTTCTCAAGATCAAATCATCTGTTTACGATTATAGAAATGTTGTAGGGTAGAGGTAAGATAGCAACTCAGGTCTGTTATATTACTGATAATTAAGTATATAGCACGCTATCAGGATTGCCAAGCAATATTTAAGGTGTTATGTACAGCTGGAATTGTGTATTATTTTTAGCATTTTAAACTGACTACCAAATGATTGTAGGGGATAAGATGAAACATTTTGTCCTACAGTTGCAAATCTTTGCAACAGTGAAAATCGTGCTAGTATAGAGATCCTAAGGAAAAGGCTCTCGAGGAGAAAAAACCTATATACTCACTCCTATTAGTAAATAGTCATTGGAAGGATTTCAATATTTAGTTGACTAAAGTGTGGAAATAAAAGAATGTATTACCATAACCTTCCCATAAACTCTTTTAAACTATGTAATGATTACTTCATAATTGGAAATTGCCTACTGCTTGCTTCCCCAATGAAAATAAGTCTCACTTGGTTATGTTGTCAAGAATTCTCTCCTTCCACTGTTGCTTTATCTCTTAGCTTTCTCCAGGTACTTCTTATTAAAGAGATAGTAGAAAGTTTGTGTGTGTGTGTGTGTGTGTGTGTGTGTATGTGTATATGAAAATTGCCTTGGCAAGGACATGTATTAATTGGTTTAATGTTCATGTGTTAATTCACTCAATGTTCAACTTTGTGGACCAAATCCATTTGTTTCATGACAATTTAAAGTAAGCTACAGTAAGACAGGTGGTGCATTAGTATCATGGTGGATGGCATATACTAGCTTATTAAATATTTGTTGAATGAATAAATGATTGTATTTTTTAAACTGGTATCATTTTTATCTTTATTATTATCTTTCCCATTTTGCTATGTTTGCTATGAAATAAAAATATGGGTTTTAGCAATTGTAAAAGCTATTCATAAGGATTTTTACATCATAATCTTGTATTGATTTTCAACTTAATTTACATAATATGTTTTAAAAGTGTTATTTGTATACCGAGAATATTAATATAAAATTATAACTATAATAATAAAATGAGGCATGTATATGTAATTATTAATATTTCATTCTAGCAATTTGACGTCTTTTTCTTGTAAAAAATAAAATGTTGCAAATCAGTTGAGGTTTCTGTTGGTTCCATATACTGAAATAATAGTGAAGGGAGGTAAATCATACAGATGAGATATGGCTAAAGCAGTGCCTATACAGAAAATTATAGGTTAAATTTATTTATTAGGAAATAACAGTTGAAAAATCAAAAAATATAACTTTCATTTCAAGAAGATAGTGAAGGAATAACAACCTAATCTCCAAGAAAAACAAAGAAAATAAATTGGTAAAATCAGAAATGAATAAAATAGAAATATGATATAAAATAATGTCACCAAAGCAGAAATTTGATTCCTTCACAAGTTTTAAAGAATCAATAAATAATTTAACAAAACTGAAAGAATAAAAAGAGAAAACACTAATTTTATTTTAATAATAAAATCAGAGAACGTAAGTACAAATCTATAGACATACAGATAGTAAGTAGATATAATAACTATAATAAATAACTTTTTTCAGTAAAGTAAATCATTAGATAAAATGGTGAAATACTTAAAAAAATACTAGACTCCAGAATTTAAACAGGAAAAAAGGGAAAGATGAACATGTTGTATCTCTTAGCAAAATTTAGTACATAGCTTAGAAAAAAGCTCTGAAAGAAAACTTCAAGTCAATTGGGATTTGTATATTGCTTATTATGTATACTTAAAGAAAAGATACCAATATTATATATAAATACCTTTCCAGAGAATAGAAAACTTCCCAACTTGTTTTGGAAGTAATATCAACCAATTAGATTAAAACAGCTAATCATGCTATAAGAAAAGTTAATTAATGGTAAATACACCTTATGACCATAGATCTAAACATTTAAAAAATGGTGACAAAGTACAATGACCTATAAATAGGATAATATATCATGACCAAGTCACTTTATCTCAGGAATATGGGATCAATTTTCAGGAGGAGTCATAAATGTACTACTCCACACTGATAGAAAAATCGATAAAACCATATGATTTTATTCAATTATTTTTATCACGAAATATCTGAGAAAATCAGAAATAGAAAGGTGTTACTTTGATTTGGTAAAGACAAATATAAAAATACTGCACGTAACTTTATTTTAATGAGAAAATATTGAACAAGCTCCCCATGATGTGTGGAAAAGTCTAGGATATTCCCATCAGTGCTTACATTCAAAATTATACTAGATTTTCAAGGCAGTATAATGCAGACACAAAAAAGACAGGAAACGTATAAAATTTGAAAGGATAAAGCAAATATGCCCCTACTTGCAAATGATATGAATGTTTATGTAAAAATTATAAACATTAAATTATGAACATTATAAACATTAAGTTGAGTGAATTCAGAAAAGCTGGCTGGATATAAGGACAATTTACAAAATCGAAATCTAACACATTGAAAAACAATCTGATATTATATCCTAAAATGTCATTTGTAACAGGATCAGAAGCATTAAATATATAAAAATAAATGAGATAGAATGCTTTCAGGATATGTAACCTGAAAACTTAAACTTTGCCAAAAGTTTTAAGAAGACCTAAATAAAAAACATAGACATGCCATGTTTACTGACTGGAAAGCTCTATATTTTTAAGATGTTAATTCTTCCCAAAATAATGTATTTAATAAACACAATTCTAGTCAAATTACACTAGGTTTTATTGTTAAAATTGACAAGTTGATTAAAAAATTTATATGGAAATGCAAAAGACCTATAATAGGTAACAGAAGTAAAAAAATGGGTGTATTACACCATTAGATTTCAAGTCTAACTCTAAAGCTACATTTGATAAGCTGTGTTATATTGACACAAGAAGAGATAAATAGATTAATGGAATATAACATATTTCAGACTTTTATACATACATATAGGTCCTTTTGATTTATGACAGTGACAAATTCAATAAGGAATAGATGGTATTTACAATAGAGAGCAATTTAAATGCAAATAGAAGAAAGAAATCTTGAGTTTTATCAAAACATTAATTTGAGTTGGACAATAGGCCTGAGTATTCTAGGTAAAACAAAAAATCTTGTAGAAAATCTATAGTAATATTTTCATGATCTTGGGATAACCATGGACACAATCCAGGAAGAAAGAATTCCATAGTCAGAATTAATTAACAGAAAGCATTTCTATGGAAAGACCAATCACTCATTGGGAATAAATAATAACATCATATGGAATAGTATTCAGCCTCCAAAAAGGAAGAAATTCTGTCATTTGCTACAACATAGATGGAGCTGGAGAATACTGTGTTAAATAAAATAAACCAGGCATAGAAAGACAAACACTGCATGTTCTCACATACATGTGGAATCTGAAACAATTGAACTCATTGAAGCATAAAGTAGCATGATGAATACCAGATATTGGGGGATGGGCTTAGTCTGGAGATGATAGTCAAAAGGTAAAGAGATAGGAAGATTAAATTTGGTTTCTTTAGAACAATAGCACAGCATGCTGAGCATAGCTAATAACTGAGTACTCTGTATTTCAATATTATTAAGTTTCTAGTGTTCCATCAAAAAATATGATATATATATCTGCCAGATGATATGTAAAGAGCTACAAATGAGTAAGTAAAAATCAGTAAAAAATAGGCAATGCACTTGACTGCCATTGTTTAATTTGCATTTGAGAAAATGTAAATTAATATGACAATGAGGTGTTATATGATACCCATTAGAATGACTAACATTAAAAAGGTTAACAATCCCAAAGTTTGGTGAACATGTGGAGCATTAGAATGCTTACGCTTTCCTATTAGATGTGTAAATCAGTGCAAGTTCTTTGGTGACAAAGTTTAGCATTATCTTCCATAGGTAAATAAATACCTACTTTATGACTTAAAATACCGTTTCTAGAAAAGTTAGTTCTTGTTTCAAGCAAACGCATTCTAAGAATGTCTACAGGAACTTTATCATATTAACCAACATTTGAAAATGACTAATATTCATCAACATGTGAATGGGTAAAATTGAATTAGGTATTCTGATTTAATTGACTATGATGTTAACCTGAATATCTCAACTTTTGAGAGCTCTCTGGGTGATTCTAATGCCTTACCAAGATTAAAATGTAAAATTTTCATGACTCCTGAATAAGTGCCATTAGTTCAAATGGCATATTTCTGGGTACCTGTCTGTCTTTGATGGCTTGATTTCTCCATGAGTCACAATTACTGCTAGGTACATTGGTACTTAATCACTGGTGTAGTACAATAATGTATGCTTTTTAAAGTGCTACCAATGAAATCTCTCCAGGCTGTTACATAAACTGATTTCTTAGATATCATTTAGTGATCATTTTTTGTAAATAGCATTTTTGTTGTTATTGTTTCTCACTGAAGTCATTCTGCCATTATTGGTTGTTCTAGTAGATAAATACTGGGTTGTTAGGTTTTTTTAAAATTAATTTTTGTGTTGTTTATTCCTGTGTGATATTATTTCTCCAAATTTTCTGGAAAGAGAATGGCCATTTTAATATATCACAGTCACAGTGATGGGGTTGTGGCACAGGGATTGGCATATGAACCAATTGTGTCAGTCACATTAAGTTTTTGTCCTTGGTATACTGATCACTTCTGCTTAGAATATTAAGGAAGCTATTAAACATTTTTCTTTCAAGTGGGTCTGAGAGTGACAGTTCTCTTTCCTCTTTTTGTTGAGAGAGAAAAAGTGCTCTACTGCCTATTTGTCCACCCACTGTTTAGCAAACTACATGGGTTTGCTTTGTTCAAAATACGTATAGAAACAAAATAGAGAGCTGAAGCATATAAGTTAGCAGTGATAACAACTTCTTTCCAGCACTTAGGTGTGCTGTAGCTCCCAAGGTTCCTACAACTTTTAATTCATGTCTGTTAGCCATTATGATATTTTACCTCAGAATGTTTACATTTCTTTAAGATAAAATTGGGTTTGCTGTTGTTTGCTACGTTCTTCATTTCAGGAATATGTGCAAATCATTATGTTGACCATAAATCATCACCTACCCCACAGGCATTCATGTATCTTTATTTTATTTTTCATTTTATTTTATTAAGACTGCTCAAAACCCCAAAAATACAGATTATCTTTGAGACTCTTGTATGAGACATCTGTGTACAATATCCTGAAAGAATAAGATGCCTATTAAAGCCACCCAATTGTTACTCATCTTGTTAGTGGAAATGAAGTCTTCATATTGGGCTACCTGTCCTCACACTGGGAGAATAGGAGTTTCTGTTTCTTTCAATTAATAAAGCATGTCAACTACTGCTTTGTTGTACTACAACCCCAAACCCATGCCTGTATTTTTAAGACTCTGGAAAAGGCAGATGGATACAGTTACACACCTCAAACACAGAAGCAGTTCTTGCCCTGATCAGATGATAGGATTTTCTATACTAGGATAGGTTTGTGAAAACATATGTAGCTCTGAATTTAAAAACTGAAATGTACTCAAGATAATACTATCCTGGAGTATCAGAGATTAGGTTTGAATCCCAGCTTTTGACTTCCTCTCTGTATGAATTTCACAAAATCAAACTCTCAGAGCCTGAATCTCTTCAACTAAAATAAATAGGAAAAAACCCTTTATAAAAAGCTGGGTCATTGTGAAAAACAACTTTTTTAAATGCGTAAAAATACCTGGAAGCACATCGTGTATATATTAGAGGTTTAAAAGTAATGCTTGTATCTGTTAAAATTTTCCATTAATTGGGAGGTACTGTCAGCTGTGGGCTGATTATTATGTTTTAAGCATTTGACACTCCTGGAAGGTATTTCTTGATTTACCTGAGAATGAAGTGTAGGAGACTTGAACTGACGTGATTGACGGAAAGGACTTGATTGAAGGAGTGGGTAAAATAAAAAGGCTAAAGTGGTTTTTACAATATGCAAGATTTTGAGGTCATAATGGGAAGGAAAGTTGGACTATTTGTCAGCCACAAATCTAAAGCAATAAATTTCTCTTTATACCATATCTTTTTTCCTGTTTTAAAAATCTTTACCATCGATGATATGCCTACATTTGAAATACACAATTTAAGAAAGTTGTATCCTACTGTGAATAAATATTACTGAACTCTTCAGTGAACTACTTTTTCTACAAACATGGTCTTATTTTTAAAATCATTCATTAGCATTTATTTGTTGAAATCTACTCTTCCTCAGAAATGTGCTAGACATTACATAGGAAAAAATAAAGAAATTAGATAGGTTTCTTCAATCGCTCATAATACACTTTATTCAAGAAGTAGAAAGAAATGAAATAAGCATAAAAGGTATCTATAATTGCAAATATTAAGTATAACAAAGAATAAAGAATAAACCAGGAATAAAAAAAATAAAAGAGAAGGTCATCATACAAACTCAGGCTAGGTAATTTATGTTGAAATGAAGCCAAAATTTAAAATTTAAAGCCAAAATTTAAAGAAAAAAAATGGGAATGTGTTATACAAAATTGGTGTCAAGAGAATTTTAACAAAATAGTTCTGATGTGAAAACTCACAGAAAACAAAGAGCTCTGTAAATTCAAAAACAATTCAGTAGGTCAATGTGGCTGGAGTTTAATAACAAATCTGATGATATAGAAGAAGTAGAAAAGGTCCAGCCCATGTAGGGTCTTAGAATATTGTTATTTGGCTTGGCGTGTTGGCTCACGTCTGTAATCCCAGCATTTTGGGATGCCAAAGCGGGTGGATCACTTGGGGTCAGGAGTTTGAGACCAGGCTGGCCAACATGGTGAAACCCTGTCTCTACAAAAAATACAAAAATTAGCTGGGGGTGGTGATACGTGCCTGTAATCCTAGATACTCTGGAGGCTGAGAGGCAAGAGAATAGCTTGAACCTGGGAGGCAGAGATTGCAGTGAGCAGAGATTGTGCTACTGCACTCCAACCTAGGCTACAGAGTCAGATTTCATCTCAAAAAAAAAAAAAAAAAAAAAAAAAAATATATATATATATAGATTGATTTAATTGTATTTCTAAAGAAGTAAGAATTCAAATTTGTAAAAGGCACTCATACATTCACTTTGCCTTTTCAATTACTCTTGCCTTGCATAGCGAATCTATTATAAGGCAGGGAACTTACCAATATTTTGCTGAAGAAATGCTTGGTGACTGCAGACTACCAGGGTGGGGAAGTGACAGGGCCAGGACTGGACTGAAAAACTATCTGTTGGGTATTATGCTCACTACCTGGGTCCAATACACCCATGTAAGAATCCAACCCATATCAAATATAAAAGCTGGAATTTAAAAAAGATGGTGACATATTAACATGATTAAAATGGATAAAGAGACAGATATAATATAAAATTTAGGTCTAGCAGTAAAAGAACCTGGTATAGAGAGACTGAATGTAGACAACGAGGAATCCAACTTCTGTCAGACTGTAAAAAATATCATTTTTCTGTCTTGGTTGTAATTTGTTGTTTGTGTCAGAGGTACTATCATAAGACAGTTATTTTTATTCTGGTTAACTGAAATGGGGACCTCAGGTAATGTACTTCCTGTTTATAGTTTTAATCCCACTCTCAGTATCCAGAGTGAATAAAATAAATCTATGATAACAACAAGAATATGTGTTGATAATTCTTTGTGTCAAATATTAGGTTTTCTCAAATTGACCTTAAATATCTTATCAGACATTTCCAGGTTTTCTGTCACATATGCCTGTTAAATCTTCTGTTGACACAATTTTGCTACAACTCTCACTCTAATCTGCTTAGTTTTTATACAATAAACAATTGGGTTCATTAGTGGAGGTACAAGTAAGAGAACATTTGCCATAAGAACATTAATGATGGGAGAGACATGCCGGGCAAAGCGGTGGACAACGGCCAGGTTGATGATGGGCAGGTAGAAGATGATCACTGCTCAGATGTGTGAAACACAAGTATTGAGAGCCTTAAGCTGCTCTTTTTTGGATGCAATTCCCAGTACAGTCTTGAGGATCAGGATGTAAGGCACGGCAATGACAATAAAATCTACCATCAGGCAGAGTGCTCCAAAAAAGCCATAGATGACATCAATTCGGTTGTCAGAGCAGGCCAACTTCATGACATCCTGGTGGAGATAGTAGGAGTGGGATAATTGGTTTTTCTTACAATATCTCAAGCTTCTTAAAGGGAAAGGGAAAGGAAGAACCAGGAACATGCTCTTGAAGGAGAATACTATTCCTACTTGGGCAACTCTGACAGTTGTCAGGATTGAGGTGTATCTCAGAGGGTTGTGGATGGCTAGGAATCTATCAAATGACATGATCAGGAGGACTGAGGACTCCAGTACTGAGAATCCATGAAGGAAGAATTCCTGGGCAAAGCAGGCATTGGATGAAATTTCAGGAGCATTGAACAGGAAGATGCTTAACATAGTGGGCAGAGTTGATAAAGACAAACCCAAGTCAGACATAGCCAAAATGGAAAGAAAATAGTACATGGGCTCATGCAAGGAGGGCTCTGTCTTGATGATAAAAAGGATGGTGCAATTTCCTAGAACAGCAATAAGATCCATGCTGCAGATGGGGATAGAGATCCAGATGTGTTCATATTCTAGCCCTGGCATCCCAACCAAGAAGGTGGTGATGTCAACATATGATGTATTGCTAATGGACATGATTCATTCATAGGGCTCTGCAATGAAACATACAGATGCTTGTGTTGGTAAACTGGGAATATCTGAAAATTTAGTAGAAAAAAAGCAGTGCTAAAATTTGTGGCTTCTTTCAGCTTTCTTTTGAGAGAACAGAGCATTTATGTCGCGATCATAATGAAGAGAGATGGCTGCTGTTTTAGACTAGAAGCTGTCTATAAAATACTTTGAAAAATTTATTTCTGGACATGTTATTTCTATAGAGAATCCAGATTTAAATTTTGCATTTAGTTATGCATCTGATTTCATTTTTTCCTGTAAAATATTAGTAAATGCTG